CGCTCGCCAGTGGCCTTCCCAGAAGGGCAAGGTGGAGGTCATCCGCTGACCGGGCGCAACCTCGGTGCCGCGCGTGCGGCGCGCCAGCAAAAGCCGTCTGGCATGCAGGGGGCCAGGACGCACCGGGCCAAGCCCGGTCCTCGGATTGCCTCGGCCCGCGTGCGCATGACGACGCCAAGTGGGCCGACCTCGACGTCCGCCGCGTTCCGGAGCGGTTGGTGGACGCGTGGCGCTTCCCCCGAAGCGACAGCCCCTCCCATCCGACCCGCCCCCTCTCCCTGCCCCAACCCATGTGGCCACTGTTCGCTATGCGGCCTTAGTGGGGCTGGAGCTGAGAGCCTCTGGAACTGGCGCACGGCTGCCGTGCTAACCTGGCACCTGGTTCGCCCCCCCGACTCCCCGCCCACTTTCGTCAGGGCGGCCATGCAGCCCGGCGACCGCTCTAGGGTGCTGGCCGACTTCTTGCCCCAAGTCGCCTTTCCCTACTCGGCGGCCCTCGACCATCCCCCCCTTGGCCCCGACATCGCTGCTGACGCCATGCGTGCAGGCGCCATCTCTGATCGCGCGGCTGATCGGCCAACTGTCGAAAAAACTACATTTTGACTCGGCGCCCCCCCAAGCGGGAGCCCCTCGACGAGTAGGCTCTGTTTGAGGAAGCTTGCCAAGGCTGCTGCCCACGCGCTTGCTGGATCGGGCCAACCGCACCTTTCTCGCTGAGCGCCCCGTGCTGGCGGAGAGATAAAGCGGTTCCCAATCTGCGCCCAGGGGGCCCTTGCAAACACAGCCCTCCTTCACATGAGGCGCGATGTGCCGGTGGGAGGCTGGCTGCTGGCAAGACGGAGGTGGACCCCCAACCCCCAGGCCCACCAACGATCGCCCAAAAGCGCGATGGGAATCTCACTTCTGTCGCACCTGCCGCCAACGCCGGGAAACCCTGTAGACTAGCAGCCCCGTCGAGGCACGGACAAAAGTGACCGTCCTCCGCTCCCCCTTCCCTGACCAGGACAGAGCGCAGTGGCCCATGGGGGTCGCCTTCGACGGGGGCGCCAGGCTGGCCGGCCAGCGTCGAGTCGCTGGTGCAGGAGCCACCCTGCGGCAGCACTCTACTGACGGAGGACCGCCGGTCCGCATCGCATCATGTATTGTTGGTCTACCACGGATTGACATCGCGCAAACAGCAGGAGCGGATGGATGCAGGGCAGGCAGAAGCGCCTCAGCCATGACAAGTTCTACGGTGCGGTCAGCCAGGACTCTGGGCGACAGCCTTACGGTCCTAAGATATTGAGCTGGGACCGCCAAAGACCGGAGGCTGCACATGGCTGTGCCAATTGACCTTAGACTGGAGCCCCTTATCCGAAGGGGATGGCCCTTGGGCTGGGAGGCGGTCCGACGTCGCTCGAACACCGCAAGCGACAGACTGGCCACCATCGGTGTGTTCTGGGTCAAAGCCCTCCGGTCAGCTGGGCACGAAGAGGTCCAACTCTGGACCATCTGACACAACGCCCCGCAGCGCATGGCCCCGCCTCCTCTTCCCTCTCCCCGATCTTGCCCCACTCGACCCCGATTCCCTCTCTGCCGCTGCTGACAACATGGAGCTGGCCTGGACCCAGAAGCGATCGCGACGGGGCGTGATCGGATGATCGCCTGTTGTCTCCATTAAGGTTTTTGTTTGGCTCCGCGGCATTCGGAAGTGGGCGCAAACTGATTTGACAATTTTAACGCCGGATTGGGCGGAAACACCTTTAACAGTTTTAACGCCGGCTGCGCCGAAACAGAGGAACGAAACGGAGCTTCGGGCACTTATAACGATACAAACTCACTGAGAAACTGCATCCGCGCCAAGCCGGGGGCAAGCGAGGAGGAGGAGGGGGAGTGAGAAATCAACGCTACGCACGTGCAGCACAGCTACCACGGGAGGTCCAACACCCGCTGGGAACGCAGCAACTCCTCCGAGCCGCACGGCATTACTCGTGCATCAGACACTCGCGGCAGAAACCCCCTTGTGTTCCAAAGGCTCAGGCAAAATGCACCGCGCCTCATCTGTCGGGACGGGGCAGCCAGAAGAGCAAGCCGTACTCACAGCATAAAGAGAGCGTGCCGACACTATCCCCTAGATAGTACAGCTGAGGAAAACAAAAAGAGACCATGTGCATGCAGGTCGACTCGAGCTGACAAAGCAGCGGCAATCAAGATTATGAAAAGAGCGGCGAGCCCGTGGTGCCCGAACTCCAGCGGACCCGGGCGCGCGACCCCCCCCTCTGGCAGGCGGCGGCGCCCAATCAGCTGAGAGTCCTCCACCGCGGCGCCGGCGACAAAACTGGGCGGCAGCCCCCCTTAGAGCCTCAGAGGAGCCACCGGGGCGCCTCCTCAGACCAGGCCGCGCGCCCCCATGGCCTGCCGCGCCATCGCGTAGGCGACGCCGAGGCGCGTCGTGTCCCGGCATCGCCGCTCGGCCCCGAGGGCCTGGCAGCGCTGCGCCTCCGCCTCCAGGCGGGATGCGATGGCTGGCACGCTCTCCCCCTCGGCCTGCCACTGCCGCACCTCCGCGAGGACCAGTATGTAGGCCATGCTCCTGGCGGGCTGGCTGGGATCCAAGCTCTTCTGGGTCTCCGAGGTCTTCGTGGTCTCCGAGGCGATTGCGGGCGCGGCAGCAGGGGCTCGGTCGACTCCCGCGCGGGTGGCGGCGGCCTCCCGGGCGGCTCCGCTGCTGGGGTCGCGGCGGCGGCCACGGCGGCAGCTCCAGCGCCGAGAGCTGCGCCGGGAGCTGCTGCTCCCATTTCCTTTGGAGCAGCCGGGGGGGCGCAGGCCCCGCCCCCCTTGAGGTCTGAAGGAAATTCTGGAGGACCTTCGGTGGCCGCGGGTGGCTCCGCTGCCGGCAGGCCCCGCAGCGGCGGGCGGCTCCGCTGGCGGCAGGCTCCGCTGCCGGCCGGCGCCGCAGTCGGCAGGCTCCGCGGCGGCGGGCGGCTCCGCTGCCGGCAGGCGCCGCGCTCCTCGGCGGCGGGTTCAAGGGAGGAGGCTTCCGGAGCGAAGCCCTCGTCCACGCCCTCGATGTCGATGAGGCCCCGCCTGTAGGGCAACGCGGGCTCCCCCTCGCCGCGCGACGGGCTCAGGAAGAGCGAGAGCACGCCCGCCGGAACGATGGCGTCGGTCCACCATGCCGGAAGCAGATCGGCTAACAGGGGGTCGGCCACGATCTCGAGGTCGGACTCGTCGAACTTCCCCTGGTCGTCGAACTTCGTGAGGTCGAAACTCGGACAGGTACTTGCGTGGGCGCCCATCTAGGCTGAAGGCGCCCACCTCGCCGTTTACGCGCTCCACTCCTCCTCCATCTCCTCCCCGCCCCAATCCACCTCCGACTCCGCCAGGTTCTCCTCCGCGGTGGAGACCTCGGCGCTCGGGGCCGGCAGCGGCGTCCGCGCCGGAGGCGGAGGCGCCAGCACCACCCCAACGTCGTCGGCGTACACGGTGACCTGCATGATCTCGTAGGAGTTCGTCGGCGGGGACGCCTCGGCCTGTGTCATCGCCGGCGCCTGCCCCCCGAGGTTCGGCGGGCGCCCCTCGGACGTCGGCGGCCGCTCCGACTTCGCCCAGGCGCGCAGAACCGAGGCCAGCTCGAAGCGTGTCGCGGATATCTGCTGGGCCAGCCTGCGGCGCTGCAGGGACGCGCGGAAGGCGTCCTGGAAGGGGCGGTCCCGCTTGCGGTGCAGAGCGAGCGCCTCCGCCAGTTGCATCTGGGTGGTCGCGATGTCCCGCTGGAGCGTGTCGTGGCGGAAGGCCAGCTCCTCCTCCTGGGGCTTCGCCGCGCTCAGCAGCCGTGGGCGCAAGGTCCAGCGCGGATGAGTGTCGGGCGGCGTCCGCGAGCCGCAGATGAGCACTCTCCTGGGCGGCGTCATCTTCTCGGGCGTCAGAGACCTCGGGGCGGCCCGCTCTGTCCGCGAGGCCCGTGGCGTCAGGACCGCCTTCAGGCTCTTCTCGTCCGTCTCCACGGCCAGCGTGTCCGGAGCCCTCCGCGGTGAGCGCGTCGCCGGTGGCGACAGGACCACCTTCGGGCTCTTCTCGTCGGACTCCACGGCCAGCGTGTCCGGAATCCGCCGCGGAGAGCGCGGCGCCGCGCGCAACGGCGACCAAGTGGCCGCCTCCGCTGCCGCCACCGCCCTGGCAAGGGAACCCGCATCGGCCATCTCCATCGCGAGCCATTGCTGACTAACGGAAGACATGCGAGCGCGTGGTCCGAAGGTGGTAGACGAAAAAAGGCGACACCCCACCCTTGGCAGGGCTGCTGGTCGGGGTTGGAAGAATCTACTTTGAGCCCGAAACCCCTGGCCCTGACCAGAGGCGCAATGTTACGTCCTCAGCCCCCAGAGGCCGAAGACTTGAGCCATGTTGTCTCCATTAAGGCTGCAGCGCCCCCCTGACCGGCCGCTTGCCGTGTCTTGCTCCCGTCGTGCAACTGTTCGTTGCCCCCCATGGCCCCACCGATTCAGCGTTGGTCTGCAGTATTCGCCCCCGACTCCCGCGGCCCTTGCGCAAGCACTGGGAAGAAGCCTCGCTTTCAATGCCGACGGTGTCCTTTCATGAGGTGGGCCAGGACCAAGGATCCTTGGTGATTGTGGTATTGTGAGCTTGACGACGCCTTCGTTCAAGACAAGGCGCACTTTGAAGATGAAAAGCGCAGAAAGGCCATCCACACCTGGGCAACAGTGACAATATGATATATTTTTCGATCAGTTCCGATGCGGGGTCGCTGGCCCTCCCAACCCCTTCCATGGCACAAGTGTTTCGTCCTGTTTTTTGACTTTGACAGCCCCTGGGCTCACAAGCGGCCACCAGTGCCGAACATCGTGAACACACTCATCTTTGTTCTCTCCAACGCGCTGCAGGCGTGGGGACGGGAAGGTGGGGAGGACGACGAAGAGGAAAAGGCTGCGCATGCCCGCCGAACACGCGCGGAGGGGAACCAGCTCCCAGAGCCCCGCCACGCGCTCTGCGACCTCGGACGCCGGCGCTGGCACGGCGCCGCCGCCGTCCAGTGCGATCTCGCCTCCTTTCGGGGGGGGGGTGCGCGGCGCCACGGGCGGGCAGGGCCTGCCCGTGCCCCCTCTCGGGGTGGGGACGAAAAGAGAAAAGATGAAACAGAGGAGGAAAGGGGGAGGGAGCGGAACAAGGCGGAAAAAGGTTGCGGAGGGGGGGATGATGAGGATGAGGAGGGAGACTCGTGTGAACGCAGGAGTCGTCAACAATGTTGCAACCGGTCCTCCATCCGAACTCCCTCTTCGTAGGTTCATATTAGGTTTTTTTTTGTTGTTTTCTTATTATTCTTCTTCTTTCTTCCTGCGCTCAGCCTCAGTGCGGACGGCGCCGCGGGTCTGCCATCAGATGCGCGACACGCCGGCGTCCACCCAGGATGGCCGGCTGCGCCTGGAAGTATCCCGACAGGTGGGGAAAATAACCAGGAGAGGCGGAGCAGAAGGGTCCGAAGAGGGAGCGAGGGCAGCGGAAGAGGAGGAGGAGGAGGAGGAGGCGAGGGGAGACAGGAAACACGTGAACACTGCAAGGAACCCTCGGCTTTCGAAACCCAGCCGCGGCACGTGAAGCTTAGGGTCTGCTCAGCCGCAAGACAAACAACGGAGTAAGCAGTGCTTCCACACCTGAAACCAGAAATGCCGAAGCACAGTGCCCGAAAGAGAAATTACTGTACCCCCGGGGCCCTCCCAGCGTCAGAGGATCTGAATTCAGGCACGCTGTGCTGTAAGTTGCGTGCAGGAGCGTCCCAATGGAGTGAGACAGGCAAGGCTAAGAGTTGCTCCCGAACGCAACTGAAACACTGAATGATGGACGAGGCTGTCCACACGGCCATGCCGTGTGGAGGCGGGGAACCAAAGAGGCAACGCGAGCGAGCAGCGGCTCCTTGGAGGGAGCGGCCCACAAGACCGGGCGGCACGTCAGTGGCCCACCCCCGCATGCAGCCGGCGCATGCGCCAATTTACAGCACGGGAGCGGCCATCCTGGCGCACCCCGTGCCGCGACCCCGGGAAAGGAGGAGACGAGAGGAGAAGGAGGACGAGAGAAGAGGCCCAGTGGAAACCTGAACGGCCGCTTCCGGCGACCTGGGCCCAGCAGGGCAGGGCGCCAAACCACTATAGTCTGACATTGACCGCCCAATCGGCCTCAGAGACAGTCGAGGATCTCTGGAAGCCCAAAATTCGGGCCTGCCACGCCGAGACCGTGATACGATCGAAGGCGGAGGCTGTGACACGATAGAAGGGCTAAAGTGTGCCGGCAAAATCTCTAGAGTGCCACAGGGCGCGCCACCGATTTGGGCCCGGCGGAGGGCCTCCGGTCTAGCACCGGAGCGTCCACCGACAAGTTCCCAGAATAGGTCCGGGAACGCAAACACCGGCGCCAGCGCCGGGGCCCAGCAAGGCCGCAATGCAAAACCGAGGGTGCGCGTGGGTGCCGGGCGGCTCCCGCCACGTGTGGGGCCCAACGAGCCTGGGACTCAAAATGTGCCACCCTGGGCGTTTTCAGAAACGATACCTTAGATGCCACCCCCGCGAAGGGGGCCAGCCACGAGCCCAGGGAGGACAGGGGACCACCGCACGACGACGACGACGACGAAGACGACAACAACGACGACGACGACGGCGGCGGCGGCGGGACGAAGACGGGGGAGGAGGGGAGGAGGGAGGCCAGGGGAGAGGAGGCGGGGGGAAAGGGGAAGGAACGGGGCGGCCCCCTGCCCACCAGAGCGCGGGGCCCCCAGGGGGTGGCTTGTGGCTGGCGCCGCCTGGCTGCCAGCCGCGGGGCTTTGGAGAGGAAGCTGCGCTGCCGTCGTATTCTACAGCTGGTCTGGCCGAGATCAGGAGGAGGAGGAGGAGGAGGAGGAGGAGGAGGAGGAGGAGGAGGAGGAGGAGGAGGAGCGGCAGAAACAACCGGGGGCAAGAGAGACTGAACTGCCTGACTGTTGCGCTCCACGCAACAAATAAAATACAGATGGCGACCCCGCGCGTGGCCTCACGAGAGCTCCCGCGCCTTCTGCCGCAAAGCGCTCCGGCACGCCTCTGGGGGGCACGCCCCGGCGTGTCTTGTCCAGCAATGCGTCAGGTAGACACTGCAAGTCAGACGCGCGCGGCGCTGCAGCTCCCCCGCAGCAGCCGCGCTCCAGGCTGGCTCCAACAGCACGAACCTCGCGAGCCTGGAATGACGGGTGGCGGGGCGGGCCAACCCGAAGTGCGTCGCGGCGGCGGCCGCGACCCAGCGGCACTCCGAGTAGTGCTCGATGGAGTCCTCGCCCCCCGCGCATCCGAAGACGCATGCGGCATGGCCTTGGAAGCGGCGCGCGGTGATCCACCCGTTCCAGAGGGAACGCAGGCACGCCGCAAAAACGCGGGGCGGCACCGCCCGGGACACGGCCGGGTACGTAGCGAGCGCCCTGTCGGCCATCTCCTGCACTGTCATGCCGCATAGTCCGCTGCATCGCTGCGTGAACCTCCAATGCAGGAAGTTGCGCAGGCCCTCGGCGGCGCTCGGGGCGATCAGCCGGACGCAGGTTCGTTGCCAGACCCTCTTCTGCGCGGCGACGTCGGCAGCCCCGGTGGCCGCCGCAATCTGGCGTGGCCGGAGATTCCGCTCCTCAAAATGCACCCGGGCCGCTTCCAACTGAAGCACAAAAGCCTGCTCAAACTAGGGAGCCCACAGTCCCAGACGATCGACTGGCTGGTCCGAAAACAACTTCTCGCGCCGGAGCTGCGCTGCCCGGGCCTCCACGCGCAGCCCGCCTTCGGCTGCTGCCTCCCACTGGCAGACGCGAGCCTTCGCTGCCAGGGCAACTGAAGGTAGGTCTGGAAGGCCCGCTGGGAACCCCATGAGGGGCAGGCCGTGGAGCGCCGAAGGCGGGGCCCATCTGCTCGGACCTCGGCACAGCGACTGCAGCGCAGCTGCCTCCAGGCGCGGCCACGAGGCCGGCGGCGCGTCCAGCTGCGCGAGGAACGCCTACGTCGAGAAGGCATATGCAGAGTATGCCACGGTCTGGGCGAGCATACCACCGCCAGAGAGGCCCCAGTCCCGAGCGCGTTCCTATTACGACCTATGTTCACTGCGGGAAGGGCCCCGTCAGAAAACAACTGTGTGGAAATCCTCAACCGTGCCATAACACCACTCTTGAGACTTCACCGACGCGAGCCAACGCTACTGTTGCAACCGGATGGTCCCAAGTCGTGCTAGAACACCGTTCCTGGGACGTCATCGACACGAACCAACGGGCGTGTCGCACCCTCACAATCACGAGTCGTGCCAACGCACTTCATGGGACGCCAACCGCAAAAAAAAACCCTTGAAACTGTTACAAACAATCAAAGCGAATGTGCGAGGCACTCGAACAAAAAACACATTTTGAGAATCAGCCACTTTCCGCCGTGAGCGTTTTGCTAACTTCTGAAACGAATGTTCTCGGCGCTGGGGCGAGAATCGCATTTTGAAAACGACCCGCGCAAATTTTCAAACCGAACGTGCGCGGCGCTCAGGCGAGAACCACTTCTTGAAAACGAACCGCCCTCCAGCAGCGAATCTGTTGCAAATTTCAAGCTTCAGCATCATATGTGGTCAAGAAGACTGAAGCGAAACGCCTGGCCCGCCCTACCGACCCGTCTTGGGGTGCGACAAGGATGATTTTTTCTCAAAGTGAAGACGGAGGGGGAAGGGAACAAAGTAACGCGGAGGAGGGGGAAGACTTAGGTGAAATAGATCAGCGACACGGAAGGGAAATCCAGCTCGACTTCAAGAAAAAGGCGAGGCCGCCTTTATGCCGCGACTTTCGGCAACGAATTAACAACACTCAGTGCCAAAAACAGTCCAGCGCGTGCAAGCCCACGGACGGGAACCACATACAGTATTAGGAAACCCGTAGCCCATATGCAGTACCAGGAAGCACCCACATCGTGGAAGAATACGTTGCTGGACGAAATGAGCAGCACTGGGAACATGACGAACAGATCAGCGTGGAAACCGAGCACACACACACACTACATGAACTTGGCGCAGGACAGCCTCCAAATCAACACGGTCCCATGAATTCCTCATCTGATGACTCGCCGAAGTCGTCGCCACTGAAGCCACTTGAACAGTGGCGAAACAGAAAACTCCTCGATATCCTTGAAGGCCGAATGCAAGGCCTTCCCCACGAACGGCAGAAAGGTTCTGCGGAACCCTAAACGGCGCAACGAGAGGACGCGGCGATCTCCTTTCTCTGCGGCTCCGTGCTGCTCGAGGCACTGTGGCAATCCGCAGCGACGAGCTCCTTCAGGGCGAAGCCCTGCAGAGCCTGCGAGTCCGCCTGCACATGCTCGCTCCCTGTCTCAGAGCCGTCTGCCGCAGAGAGAAAACCCCCAAAGCTGTATGCTGGGAGGCGGCCTCATCGAGGTCCGCCGGGGCTTCCGTCGCGGCCGCAGTCTCGCAACAAAAACCTTCCACGGGGACGAACGACCGGACGAAAACGGGCTCTCGTGCAGCCCGAGCCTCAAAAAACCGCCCATGCTGGGCGCTGCGCAGCTCTTCTGGCCTCGCCGTCGCCGCGTTGACTGCCGGACAGCTCACTGAGAGCTGACATGGTTTCAGATTAGAGACAGGCAGCGCAGGGTAGTCCAAGGGTTCTTTCCGGCGTCGGGCAAGGAACCTCGCGCCGGCGCCTGTGAACTCGCACCGTGGGCCGGAAGCGTTTTCGAACTCGTTCCCAATGCGTTGGCCGTAAGCATTTCCGCAGCCATTTTGAAACGCTTCGGGAGCTCCTACGGAGCTCCTCTCAAGCTTCTCAGACATCCTTTCACGCGTCCCACAGTCGGACCTAGGGAAGCAGTGTCCTTCGAGAACATGAAACCCTCCGCCGGCCAAAAGGAAGAGCATTCGAGGGTACCCCCCTCTGGATGCACAACACCATCCAACAAACACAACCATATCAGGGTACCCTCCTCGGGCCGACCTCGATCTTATACCTCGGTCCGACTGTAGCAGGCATCTTTCGCAAAGTTTCTCGCGGCTTGGACTGCACCG